ATATTTGTGATTACCTATGTTGGACTGATACACCTATTTATAAAGGTATGTTGTATTTAATACAATGAATACACGGATATGCCTCCGATACGACACTGATGCGTGTCAGATACGGTTTTTCCGTATCCAATTAAAATACTATTTAATTTCAAAAGGACATGCGTATTCGATACGCGTGTCCGTTGAAAAACAAAAAAAAAAATCGAAAAAAAAACGTGTCGTATTTACTTATGTGGCTGCGAGCGAGGTTCTCTAATTTTCGAGATCGATTTGAGTCTCTTGATGATATGGGAATATTAGAAATTGCTAATCTTTCACTTGATGAGCCTAAATTAAAAGCTATGATATTTATTGAAGATGATATAGAAGTTCAAAAACAAACAACTGAAAAAGCTAATCAGATCATTCCTTTTATTAAACAGTTGAAACTTCATGTGCTAGATAATTTATGTTTATGCTTTTGTTGAGTATTAGACATTTAATGCTAACTTTATTTTGATATTATAAGCTGCAAGGATACAAATGATGTTGCTTTCATTTTTTATTTTTTATTTTTTGTAATTTTAAATATTATGTTTTGATTGCTTTCTTAATTTTTATGTATGATTTATAAATTATAACGCAATGTTCGCACCGTACCCGTAGCCCATATTTTTAAGAATTGACGTGTCTCATATCCGTATAGTGTCGTATCCGTGTCGTCATATTTGTATCAGTGCAACATAGGTGATTACTTTAATCGCACATTAATCACACATTATCTATAATATTTTATAAAGAAAATATCATTCACCAATCCACGTGCCCGGATATGCTCCAATAAAATAGGGTGACATAAAAATCATCGTATTATAAAATTCATAAGGACTCTTATCCAAAATTAAATACCAAAAAGAAACTAGGGAGCAGCTCTCTTAAATACTACTTATCTAATCAATACAATACCCTCAAGAGTGATTAGATTCAAAAGTCCTTTAAACTATGCTTAAATTATCTAGTAGAATTTTTCCATACAAATAACTCCATCTTCAAAATTCCTCTAAAAGTATTTGGATGTACTGCTTGTGTCCACATCCACAAACAATATAGAGGTAAACTGGATCCTAGAGCTCTAAAACATATTTTTAATGGATATTATTCCACTTAAAAAAAGGTACAAGTGTTATCATCATGCCAAAAAAATTCCTTACCTTAAATGACTTTTGATCAGAAACATTTTTTTTCAAACTCATCTGCCAGGGAAGAACTTCTAACAAGAAGATAAGTTTGATGAATCATCTATTTTTAATCTTCTCCACAACACAAATCCCAGCAAATCCAAACACTGTATCCCTTCAGGTCTATACAAGAGGAAAGGAACCCAGCTAAAATCTCTAGCAAGCTCAAAGCACGAAAGCATTATTAGGTAACAATGACCATCGCTATTATACTTCATATACGATCTGTCAATAAACATCCTTTCAAAATTTTTCTTATAAATATCAATTCTAAATTCATTACAATACCATAAACCCTATGTGAGACATTTGAAAATAAGATTAGAAATGATGCCATGAGAGAAAATATAAATGCACTAAGAAAAAGTCAAACTTAAGAAATCAATGAATTAATAAAAAAAGGAAAATTGTGGTATGTAAGTGAATTGTTTTGTAAGATATCGGGTAGATGGGAGTCTAAAATAGTATAAAGCAAGATTAGTTGCTAAAAGATATACTAAATCATATGGAATCAATTATCAAAAGAGCTTTGCACATATTACAAAAATAAATATAATTCGCACTCTAATTTTTCTAAATGCTAATCTTGGATAGTCTATGAAACAATATGATGTAAAGAAGTCTATATAGACCCACCACTTCGATTCGATAGCTCTTTCACAATAAACAAGGTGTGCCAATTAAAGAAGACTAGCTTAAACAATCCCCAAAAATATGATTTGGCAGATTTACAAAAGTAATGTCAATAGATGGATATAAACAAAGGAAAGGAAATCATACATCTTCATAAAACACTAAACCTATGAAAAAATTTCAATGCTCATTACATATGATAATGATATAATTGATACATATGATGATAATAAAAAAAAAGTCTAACAAAAAAAAGAAAAAGATGAAGAATTTGAGATAATAAGTTGGGCAAACTCAAATGCCTCATGGGTATAGAAGTTGCTCAATTAGAAAAAAAAATCCTTTTTAACAAAAAAATATCATGGATCTATTGAAATAAACATAAATGACTGGTTGCAAATCCTATGAAACCCTAACTAAATCAAATCAAAAATTGGGTGCAGATGAATAAGGGACAAAAGCATACAGAAGACAATATCAAAGATTAATTGAAAATTAATCTATCTAACTCACACGCATCCAAACATTGTATCCATAGTGAGTCACATTAATAAAATTATGTAGAAACTCAATGAGCCTCACCTTTAAACTACTTGTAGAGTTCTCAAATATCTTAAATCAAGTTCCAGAAAAAGAATTCTTAGCAAAAACAAGAGACTTTACAAATTGATAAAATATTGATGTGCACTTCATATGTGTTAAAAGAGAGTTAACTAGTTTGCATACTAATAGGAAATACTTGATTTCAAGTATTTCCAAATCACTTCTACAGCAAATCTCGATGCAAACTGCTGTTCACAGCAGGAAAAACAGCAAAACAGTGGGAAAAACAAGGAAAAGCTGAGAGAAAATTGGAAGAACAGCTTGTATTTTACTAGTAGAAGAATAAAATAGCAAGATACAATTGATCCTCAATTCGAGAGGAGGATCGTTCTCTCCCAAATCTCTGGCAACGCCAAGAGCCCCAAGAAAACCTAAATCTACGAGATCTCAAATTTCAGCCAAATTCAAGATACTCAAAACCTAGAAAAATCTACTATTTAATGCATACAATTCAAAAGGAATTTCCTAAACAATCCCTACAATCAATTTCCCTCCTAAAATCCATTCAAAAACTTTCCAAAAACCGTCCCGCAAGGCGTGCGTCACGCGCGGCTTCCGCCCAGGCGGAAGCAATCTCCGCCGTTTTGCGGTTTCTTCCATGAACCGGTCCCGCCTGGACCGGCTGGACCGGTCTAACACATACTCACCAAAGGACTCAGCAATCCTATGTTTAAAAATACCGTATGCAAATTTGGAATGGTAGATCCATACCATCCACTTTGAGGGGGGAGTGTTGAAGACCGTGTAGTCCCACACCTCCATGGGAACCACTCATTTGCCTCCATCACAATTCACACATCTAGGACCCGTCAGCAAGTACTTTCACCCTAGGGTTGGAATCCATGGGTCTCACTATGCTGACAATCATATTACGGATAGTTGGATACTTAAGCACACAAATTGAATAGCTTAGCCATTTAATTTTCTCTCTCATGGCCCTTTCTCTCATAGCCCTTACATTATAATCCATGTGATCTTCTCTATAAAACTGTTGGCTCCCTTTCCACCCACCCACCCACCCGCATTTTATTTTGTGTAATTAATATTGATCTTTTTTCTTATGTAACAATATCGGAGGAGCCTATATATATACCTCCAATTCTTATACAAAAAGCAAGTAATAAAATTCAAAGTAAATGTTTCTATTTCTACTACCTTACAATGAGAAGGGTACTAATGGTAAAAAACTAAACACTGACCAACTAAAATTGAAATAGATTCTGTAAGATTGAATTTTCCATGTTTTTTGCTGAAGATGTCTCAATTAACTCAAAAGGAGCAAAGATCAGAATTATTCAATCAAAGTTTCATAATTTATATGCTTCAAAATATCTATTTATAGAAAGGACCTTTTTTATTAGAGTTAAATGAGAATTTGACTCTTAAAAGGAGAGTGAAGAAAAAATGATTCATGTAGCCGATCCCACATAATGGGATAAAGAGTTGATGTTGTTGTTTTATAGATTACTAATGCCTTGACGCCCGGCATAACATAAGCACAATCAAACATTAAGTTAACACAAGAAAAAAGCATCAGCTTCAATTGAAACCCCAATAAGCCTCTATCTAAAACACTTCTCGTAACAACTTCTGGAAAAAACATGGATGAACTAAGAGTATCTACTACATCTTTGAAAATCAAAACAATAAAACAGTATAATAGCATAGTAACCAATAGAACTCACAACACGGCATTAAACTTAAAGTAGTATGAATAAAGGCTATAATCCGGCATCATGAAAAACCAAAAACTTAAAAAATTTAATAATTAGTAAATTACTAAACTATCCGATATCTGTGGAGTGAAAGGAGCAACTGAGGAAGGCTTAGTTTTAAATATCAATTAAATTTCAGATGGAAATAAATGAAAAAGTTTACTTCTAATTTTGAAAGTTTTGATCATCGGAGACAACGATTGTTGTGCATATTTTAAAAGATATATATATGTCAATAAGAAAATAATAATAATCTTATCCATGAAATTTTTGACCAAATATGATCAGCTGAATGGGGAAAATTCTATCGTGTAAATCAAATGGGTTATGAAGCAATATTATAAAATTGAATAATAAATATTAGCTAACAGAGGGTTGCAAAGAATTTTTACGATTTTATTATGCAACATGTTATTTTTATTTGTGCACATTTCAACCCCAATGAGTCTTGCTAGAATTCTACCACATATCAATGCTATTGTTCCTTATTTCACTTCAGCTTTTTCCACATATTCTTCTCTTTAAAATCTTTTGAATGAACTTTTTTTGCTTATTCTCTTCAAGAAATATTTTGTTCTTGCTAAAAGGAAACCTAGGGTAAGTTTATTCTTGTCAAATTCCAAATTGTGTAATTAATAATTTAAAATAAGAATAAAGTTAGTAAAATAACAATATTGAACAATTAATCGACCAGGACATGCGTGCATCACTTTGTCTTGCGTTATACATCATAAATAGATAAAGGCAAGTTTAGTTAAGAAATTAGAAGTGAAAAAGAAGTGTCTATTGTACATATAAGCTATACTGGAGATAAGTTATGTTAGGCTCTCACCTCCATATATGACTTAGGGTGGGAAGCGGTTGTGGGCTCCACAGAGGCAGGGGCAGGGGCAGGGGCAGGGGCTAGTGACTGTCCTTCTGTCAAGAAACTTTAAAGTGACTGATTGGCAAAAAAAGGTTAGCTATGATAACGGTGAAAGTGCAAAGAAAAAAAACAATACTAACCTGCTCCATAACTGGTAGTTGACGTGCCATTGACTCTAACTTGCTGCAAATGATTTTAAAGGGAGAGTAAGACTGCTAACGATCTACAAAGATGATGAAAGAAAAGAGATGCCTAAATTGCATGCAGCAATAAAATTTCATGCTTACATTTAGTAGTGTATGGTTGGCCTGTGAAGGTTTCCATGAGTTGTTGCTAGTACCTGAATATTGTGCAAATATAGTTCAGAAGTCAGAAAGGCAAACTCTAACTTTATTAAGAAATGGTAGCATTTGATATAAATGCACAGTTGCATGAGGATGGCCAACATATTATTAACAACCAGCTAGCCAGCTACTCCACCTGAAAGAGCATTAGAAAGTATGCAATTCTGCTCCTCTAGTAAGACAACCATATAAAAAGAAACTTGAGATAATACAAAAATGTGCATGAATCTTTTTATATTTGATGTGGTGGTGGTGGTCTTTGTGTAGGAGGGAGGAGGAAAATGGAAATTAATGTTGTTCTATGTGTATGAGATCAGCATGTTTTTTACTTTAATTGAATGCTATAGAAAAGTAGACAAAAAAAATTAGTATGAATTTTATTACTTGATTCGGTACAAATTTTGAAAATATTTTAAGCTTTTTGCCGAAGGTTTTTGATAAAAATCAATCAAAGCTATTCACAAAAAGAGGAAATTTTTTTCCAAAAGGGACTGGTAGCTAGAATAAAAAGAGGAGCTACAAGGATTGCAATCTAAGGGTCATCAAAGAATCAATCCAACATTTAAAACTCGTAATCTGTGTGCTCAAGGGTCCCTACTAATATTAGTTAATTTATAGGTCCCACGAGCCTTCAACACCCCCCCTCAAATTAATTCTAAGTTTGCGTAAAATATTTGTTAGCATGGGGTTGTAGAGTCCTTTGGTGAGAAGTCTGCAAGTTGATTTTGTGATCGCATATATAGAGTATCGATCAACCTACTTTTCAATTTGTCTTTTATGAAATGTCCATCCACTACCACATGCTTGGTTCAATCATGTTTTATTGGATTATGAGCAATGTTGACAGTATATTCATTGTTGCAGTATATCTTTCTAGCCCATCTTATTTTTAAACCTTTAAAATGATTTTGATCCACAGAAGCTCATAGAATCCTTGGGCAATAGCTATAAATTCAGATTTAATGCTAGATCTAGAAACAAAAGGTTGTTTCTTGTTTCTCCATGTTATGAAATTTACTACCAAAATATACAGCATCTAGCTGTGAATCTTCTATCAACTGATGATCCAGCATAGTCTACATCAATATATCCTGCAACTTGTAAATTATCACGCTTTTCATAGAGGATTCCTATAGCAAAACTTGATTTAAGATATCTGAGATTCTATAAGTAGCTTGAATGTGAAAATAATTAGGTTTGTGCATGAATTGACTAGTGAGATTCACTGCAAATGCAACATCTGGATGGCTATGAGATAGATTATTTTTCTAACTAATCCTTGATATTGTCAAATATATACTTATTTTCTTTCTTCATGTGCATTCTTTTTTTTTTTTTTTTTTTTTATTTGCTTTTTTTTTTTTTTTTTTTTTTTTTTTGACCTAGTTCAGTTGGGGTATCACAATATTTTGTATGACCTCAACAACAAGGGCCACCCTATGAATACGAAAATCGACTCAAGCATGTGCCATGGATCAAGTTTCACAACAAAGGTGTCTTGTACATTCAACTCATATACACCTGAATGCTTTAAGATACTCACCATTCAAATGAGCTTGTATATACTCTTGGATTGTTGAATTGGCCACGCTTTGTGCAAATGAACTGATCTTGGTATGTGTTGACACAACCCAATGTGTTGTATCTTCAAAGATACCGTTGTTGCGCCTAAGAACCATGATCAATAACCATACTGATACCCTTCATCCTTTTTCATCTAGAATGAACTCTGAATCTTACCTTGAGAGGGGTCCTTTGACATACGGCTCTCCATGTATACCTACTATGTTTTTTGTTAGGTTGAACCTAGACTCACCTGCAACAATTGAGTTGATCAGATAAATGCCTCAAACAATGTTGGCCACACTCTGTGCCTCTGAGCCAATCTTACCAAGAATTACTAAGCCCAGTGCACTATACTTCAGTGGTCACATCCATACAACTCCGAAACATGATTAGCCATATTGGTGCCCTCAGTCTTTTCCTTCCAAAGATGAGTTGCAAACGACATTTCGATAGGATACATCTGCTGGTATACTACCACCTTGTTCTATTCAAGATATGTAGGAAGCAATCAATGTTTCTTAATCATACTCCCTAAATGATATGAATCTAGCCCTCTGTAATTGCCAGCTAACTTTTTAAAGGTGCCTAAAATACTTGAAATAACTTTAAAGGCAAAAAGAAAGGTTTACATTGGCTAGAACTTTAGATTGACTAGGGCTTTAGACAATATTTGCAACTCTAATAACTTCCAATTCTTTCAGTTCATTTTAATAGGTTAAAGGCCAATCCTGAAGTATGTATAAAATCTAGGACTCAATCCTAATAAACCTCAGACTATCTTGATCATATGATATAAAAGTAAATAGATATAAAAGTAAATAAATATAATAATAACATCCGTAGAAACCTAAATCTAGAATTGAAACTCAAAACATATTAAATTAAGAGGACTGCCAAAAGACTGCTACAGCACCATGTGCATTGTCTCTAGTAGTCACCAACAGAAGTATAGGGGTTCCTGCTATTGCCTTTGTACTATGATAATCATGAGAAGTGGATTGGTAACATAAAATAGATCTACTCAGATAACTACGTAAAATGTCCATCACATCATGTTTTCATAGACCTCATCATTAGCATTTTCCATTAAATCTGTAAAATTACACACAAAATGTCCATTTGCAAAAACAATGTAGCTTCTAAGTAGAAGAAAAAATAAGATTAAAAAGGCACCATTTTCCAATTTCAAATGGTTATTACAGACATCAAATGATCTCAAAATTTTACTGTTTCCATACCATAAAATGTTGGAGGATTATATTTTTCCAACCAACCAGTTGTGATTTTTAATTCCTACAGGCAATTGCCTTACAAAGAAACAGTATTCCTCCAAAGCTTAATTTTCATATGGAAAGCTTGAGACCATCAAGCAAAAAGTTTCGAAGAATGATCATAAAAGTAAATTACCATTTGATGTGGCATACTGGACATACTCATCTATCAGCTTCTCTTGCTCCCTGGCTTTTTCCAATTTATGAATAGCTTCACTCATGGATTTCATTTCTTTAACTTGCACGTCTATCATTCCCATGAATGCCTCAAAATACTTCCGATCTAATAAAGAAGCAAAGGAGTTGTATTACAATACAAATTCCGCATGGTCATCAGCCATACGAGGTTAGCAAGTTAGAATACACATTCAAGTACATAAAAGGTAATATACAACTGAAAGGAAACAAAAAAGATAACTCTTCAGTTGTTATGTGGCGTTACCTTCATTTTTTGAATTTAATAATTCTTGACTAGCTGTAGCAACAATGGCAGCAGCTGAGGCAGCTGCTTTAGCAGCCTCAGCTGTTTCTTCAGCCAGGCTTTTAGTTGCCCTTTCTTCCTTATCCTCCATTGCTACCCTTCTTATCCAAGCTTTTAAACGAGGAAGAACCACTCTCTGAGTGCATGAAAAGGATCGAATTATAAAAAATGCTAACAAAAGTGATATATAATCCCAAAGGTCCACCATACACAGAAAGATGAATGCAAAAGCATGCAAAAAAGGTCCAAGTAAAAAATCATTTAGCATTGCAATATAAACGTAATGGGTAAATGAAATATCATAAAGACAAAATGATAACAACCTTAAAAATTACAGCAGATCCAGCTCCAGAAGCAGATAGCACTCCAATAGCAATTAAAGCATGAGACCAATTGAATCTAGGTTTTTGGGACATAGGAGTCAAAGAAACTGCACCAACTTGAGAAGCTACTGGCGGTGCGGTTTGAACGGAAGCTTGGGGCTGCAGGCTGGTGGATGGACTCACTTGATTAGCTGTCACATGCAAAGAACCACAAAACGAGTTAAATATCAAGAAATTTTTTATTTTAATACATTGCAATACCATTATAGAAGTATGAAACTTGGGACAATAAAGGTTGTTCAAGTATCCAAGTAAGTTTATGGCATCTAGCTTTATCGGCTAGCGAGTTGCCCAATTCATATAAATTCTCACGGAATTAACATTTAAATTTTCAGAGAACCTACCTCTTCAAACCCAAAAGGGTAGTTCGTTGGGAGCTCAAATTTGAAAGATTAATTGTTTAAGAACCATTACTAGTAAATCAAAAAAGCATGTATTACCCTGCCTTGTTGAAACAGTTTCAGCAGTTGTGGCATTAGGAGATGGATCCTGCAGTTCATAAAGATTTCTCAAGCAAAATAGTAACAAATATTTAATCAAACCTCGAATAACAAGAAGCAAATATACTCATAAGTGACAAAAGGCATACAGGTACACGGAGAAATGCTTCATCTATTTCCTCCTTAGTCAGGCCTTTCCTCTCAAGAAAAGAGCGCCTATAAATGACTGGTGAACCCCTTACTTTTGGGTGTGATAGAAACTTGACAGCATTTTGCACTTGATCTTCTCGTAATGGCTCAGATGTTATGAATGGTGATCTCTGTTGCGATCCATCTGTGGGCTCACTCCGTGCAATTCCACTAGCTGGTTGTGATAATTCAGGCCCTTGAAGCAAAAAAAGTTTATATAATGTTAGTCTCGTGAAATAAGGATCTTATCCACAGCTAAATGTAAAATAAACAACACGAAATAGAAGTGAGCAACACTAATTTTTTTTTTTGCAATTTCAAAGATCAAATCTTTGAAATGAATTTCTTAGAAAGATAATTAGAAAGATAAAAACTTAATAGCAATGTCAATCAGAAACAAATAACAACTGAAACGAGAAACTATTATTATGACAATACATTTGAGGTTTTAGACTTTTTGAGTGATCATGAGCCATTGAGCATCAACTAACTACATAGTTGTTGATACAAAGGTCACCATAGGAAATGTAATAAATATATCTGGTATAACAGCTATATTATTTAAAAAAAAAATTCTAGGATAGCACTGGCACAACATCCTAATTCTTAAAAGTGTTTTGGAACGGATATGAAGTAATTTCTTAAGGGGAAGGCTTTGAAACGCGAAAGTTCTAGCGTGCACTCACGTGTTGCTGAATATGTCTCAATCCACATTGGTCAGCCAAAGAGCACTACCAGAACTCCTAAATGGCCTGAGGATCATAACAATTTTCAATGCTAACTTCTAATTAAGAATTGCCTCTATGGAAATACATTGAATGGTATATTGAAGGAATTATGGTGCAACATTGTGAATGTCTTGAATCGATGTCTACTTGTCTAGACACAATTACACAAAATAGATTGTTGTAACAAGATTTGAAAAAAAAATGATACCAAATTTTAGGATATTATATCAACTTTCAAATTGAAACAGTTAGGGGTAGGATGAACTTCATATTTCAATCATAACTGATGAGATGTGGGTGGAGATCATTTAGGTATGCTTTGGTTTTCATAATCCCCGTTTCTCATTCTACTAGCTGTCTACACACGCTTATACCCCATTTTGATGAAGCCTTTGACAAATCACAGATGTTTCAGGGACCTCCAGTGGTATTCGATGAAGGCTTGGCTTTGCCGAGGAGTCTAGGGTTTTCTACCAAAAAGAAGAAGGGAGAAATGACAGAAACTGCTGAGCATTGTATATATATCTGCTTCGACGACTCTGCTTGGAGGAAGAAGGGTAGCCAGGCGGGGACAATGCACACAGAAGAGGAAACAAGGTCTCGCCAAGTTTTATACATAGGGGAATCGAAGCTGCTCGTTGACAATGATGCGGGAGAGTCTCCAACCGAAAACTTCATTTTTCAGGGCAAAGTAACGCAAAACTCCAAAATGGCAACGCCATTTTAGGTGTTTTTGAGAAGGTAAATCGCCCTCTCTTTCGCGAGTTTTTTGGAGAGCAAAAAAAATGGTGTGGGTGAACAGTGCGACGTTCGGTTGGAGCGACGGAAGACTCCATACACTCGTTTAGCGTTCGGTTGGAGATGCCATACGGCACGATTTAATAAATCCCGGATTTACGATAAAATGAAGTAAAAAGGTGATTTACGATCCCATAGGATTTATTTGATGCAATTTCACCGTTGGGCAAGATTTCCAATCCTAAATCCAGTTTACAAGCTGCTACCAAACAGCCCCTAAGTTTTGCAATTCTTCTCATTCTCAAATTCAGTTGAAGCTAAATAACAACGATTAGCTTATATAGCCCACAAGTCCCTCCTCGTCATTTCTTGATCGCATCGATGTCCAAATCCCCAAAAGAAAACTCCTGCACAGAAACCAGCAATCCAATCCTCGACTCACCGGGTCGATTGCGTCCTCGAAATCTAACTCAATAAGTTACCGATCGAAAAAAATCAAAGAGAAAACTAATGAATGAGCGAGAGCCCTAACCAGACATCTGAAGACTTAACTGATCCGGAAAAGGGGGGGAGGTTCAGGTTTCACCTTTGGTTTGAGGATTCTCGTCGCCACCTCCCTCAGTCGCCATTCGCGCCCCTTTGCTATGGCTTCCTTCTCTCTCTTCCAGTGAAAGCGTGGAGCACAAAAGTCCGTCTCCGTGTCCGTGCGGGAAACGATAAGTTGACACAATCGAACCCCGTTTCGTGCGGGAAACCCTAAGTTAGGAGGATTCAATATGGGTGACCGGATCAAAAATTTTATCCGCACCCGGCTCAAAAATTTGTGATATCTATTTAATTGTTTGTCATATGGGTCAGATTTGAGTTCAAGATTCCGATCCATTTTAAAACTGAGTCTGATTTGAGTTGATTCGGAACTCCTGCTCTCCAGCGAGCCATTTCGCAGCTCTCTCCTGCAGTAGTGAATGCTCGTAGGCCACGCTTGCTCTCCCCATCTGCCTTGTATGAGCTCGTGATGCGATCACTTGCAGGCACTGCACCGCGCTCGTCCTATTGCCTCACATTGCACCCCGTGCCAAGCTCGCCCGTACTGCGCTACGAACGCTCACAGGTCGCAGTGCTCAAGGCCTCCCGCACTCGCTACGCCAAACCCTGTGCACTATGACCCTCGTCCGTATTGTACTCGCCTTCACCATGCTCGCACTCTTGCACCCGCATTGTGCCAACACCTCGCTTGCTACACATGTGTAATATGGGTTATAGTTTGGATCGAGTCAACTCGGCTAGTAACCCACATGGGTCAGGTCATGCTCATACATTTTGACCCATTTACAAAATCGGGTCGGGATAGGGTCAACCCATTTGAACCCAAGTCAATTTCGAGTTTGACTCTAACCTAACCCGAATAATCACACAAACACACACACATATATATATATATATACTAATACTAATGATATATTTGTATATAATTTAAAATTTTGAATGTTATAAAAATAAATCTAATAATGTAGATTTTAGATATATAAATACATAAGAACTATATCACATAAATGTAAATCCTCATATATATTTAAAGAAAATAATTAGATGATTCAATTTAATTTTATTTTGCATAATATAATTGAAAGTTAAAAATTCATAGTAGTAGAAAGAGAGTTTATCATTTTAACATTATATGCAAATATTCAATATAAATAAATTGGATTAGTTGAGGACATCATATAAGATATATGAAATATTTTACATGAAAACTCAAGAAGAGAAAAACCAAATGATCTGACCTAATTCAAATTACTAGTATAAGCAGATAGTTAAAAAGGATTATCTTACCTTATCATCAGAGAAGATATTGGTGCAATAAAGTAGTATTAATGGTTAAAGATGATTTTAAAAGAGGATATAGAAAAAGTCTTAGGGATAGGAGATGGAATTTCTCATAATCAAATTTAAAAGAATTATCTATTTTATCTTTTTAATTAATCAACTAGAGTTTCTATAAATCATCACAATTATAAATTTATATATCCACTGAAAGCAACTAATAATTGTATACCTCAAAATATTTTATTATATTCATTCTCCAAAATCAATATATAATAGCCAAGAGATCAGTTCAATTTCTATTCTATCACAAACTTTTGACTACAGAAGAATAAAAAAAAGCATATACTTGAGGATCTCTGTCAATCTCACTCCAACTAGTCATAACTCCTTCCCTAGTCTCAAATCATAAAAAATTCACTGAGCATAAAAGTCAAGCAAGTAACCAAAACTCAATCACTTCTTTCGATGCAAGGCAAAAAAAATAATATGTATATATATTTTGTTCTAGTCAATATAAATCATTACTTAATAAAAATAATAACTCTCAAAATCTAATAATAAAATCATTATGATCAGTAAAATCAAAAGAGAGTTATCAAACATTCAAACTATAATAAAAATCAATAAACAAGACTATCACCCAATAAGTTATGTCAGTATGTTATGATATGTTGAGTCAATATTAATACCAATATAGTTTTAGTTCTATCTATAATTCTAATTATCAATCAGTTCAATGCAATTATCAATACTGTAATTATAAAAAGCAAGACAGGACATTCAACTTTAATGGGATGTTTTCTTTCTTACTTATGTTATCTGTCATAGCTATTAATATGTCAATCTTATCTTATATTAATTATTTATTTTCATAGGTGATTTATAATAATCATTTAAGAGTCGTCATCTTCTATTCGTCAGCGTAATTCAGTCAATCGATTACAAGCTACAATTAATATTATACCACCAATATTTTATATAAAAGAAAGTTCGTTGACCCATCCTCCTATGCAGGGTATTTTATTTTAAGAGGCAATCCGTATTAATTATAATATTAACAACTAACCTTCCTTGCTTACATGTAAATGATATATTTTCTATGCAATGTAAGTCATTATCATATATGAAATGAAATAATAAAAAATGCAGGAAAATCTATTGAATGCCTTCAAGAATAGTGAAAATCATAAAATTGAAAATCTCTATTATATAGAATCTTTAAAAGCTTTTATCATTCAAGGTGTTCAAAATTTTGTATATCCATTAGGATGTTAGCCCTTGATGTATTTAACGGAATATAACTAGGTGACCCGTGCCAAATTTGATCACAATGGCATCTATGATATTTTCATTGCTCCAACTTTTTTTTAAAAAGGTCGATTAATTTCTTATAGTGAATGCTTATGTTCGCTAGAGGACTTTTTAAATTATTTTTTATGAGCATTGATGGTGTTATCAACATCTATTTGAGCTTCTACTCCATGAATGAGATTGGCATAGGAACATATATTATCTCACATTAATAAGGGATAAAAATATTCAAGACAAAAACCTTTAAGTAAAACACCTTATAGTAATTCTGAATCCACACCTAAGATTTTGTGTGCTGTGTGAGCGAATACATAAAAATATTCGTTAAGGGTCTCTTCGTCATTTTGGAAAATCCTATAAAGATGTGAGAAGTCTTTAATAATATTTTGGTTAGCAAATATTTATTTGGTAAAAAAGGCTGGCTAAATTAATAAAAATATAAATAGTTTTATGTGAAAGAGAGTATAACCATGTGTGAACTTATCCCTTAAGAGTAGCAGGGAAGACATAACAAACAACTTAATCAAAAGTATGTTAAATGTGTATGATGGTCTTATAGTGGTTACTGTGCTCATTGGGGTCAGAAATCTCATCATATTGATCGATTGTAGATAATTTAAACTCTACTAAAATAAGATGTTGAAGAATTATGTCAATTATAGATGATAACTCTTGAAAGTTATGAGGATGTATAATTTATTTCCTCTTGACTAATGTGTTGCAACACATTTATTATAATATTATGAGGGGCATCTAAAAATTCATGTTAATTTAATTTTTTTTATGGGCGATGGATGATTACAGGTTGGTCGAGCAACATGAGAATGATGTGTTGAATTGATATTATTCGAGAGAATTTAGTGAGGATGTGGTGGAAAAGATATTATAGTATGAAGAGGTAGTACCCGAATGACATCATCCCTAATATGTTGATTTTGAGGTGAGAGAACTCCATCCTACAAAATGTTACCCTTTACTATCTAACCTCTTATAAGCATTATAGGTTTTGAAATTGAAGCTCTTCCAACATGCCCATATATGATCATGTAAAGTGAATCCTTATGGGCCTTCACCACCAGCATTGTGATATCCTTGATTAAGAGATTTATTGTTACTATTAAAGAAGCTTTTGTAGTACATTGGGATTAGGTTCTCATAGACGATGCAAATTTGTTACAGACTAAAAAATTTATGATGATAGAATATGTATTTTACATCTAATCTTTTTTCTTAAATCTAGCACACATAAATAAAGTTGTAAGTGACCAAAATATTTTACATGAAAAACTCAAGAAGGGAAAAAAACTATGGGGCCTGATGCAATTTTAATAATTCACAATATAACAGAAGATACAAGAATCCTTTACTCTTCATAATTAAAAAGATGAGATTATACATAGTTGAGAAAAACTATCTAATTGCCCTTTTACGGATTACAAATATCGATTGTCCACAAGTAAATGATTAAAAGCCATACAACAAAGTTATATGTTAACAGTCAAGAGACAATATTTGCATGATAGAAGTTTAGAGATAGTGACAGTGATTGTCAATAGTGGTTGTTAGCGGTTATCTCCCAAAAATGTAAAATAGTTCTTTAACTATAATGATTTGCATACTTGCATCAGCATCTTGTGTTTGATTAAGTATATTTTATATTTAAAAAAAAAGAATCTCACTGAAGAAATATGTGGAAGACAAACTGCAAATCCATAGAAATGGAGATGAGATAGCTTAATCACGGTGGGATTCTTTCATTGCCAACAAAACTGAATAGTTCATCAATACAGTAACAGCTTGCAGAAAACAAAGCAGGAGGCTACTTATTTCTGAAAAGAACAGGAAACAAATTTCATAATTCCTATAATCTGTAAGAATAAATATACAACCAAAACAAGCTATCATTGTACCATTCTATTCTGTCCCCCTTCTCCTATCTTTCCAATATGAAATGAATATTTCATTGAAAAAAGATCTGCAGGAGATCTTTTTACAATTTATGCTGCAATTGTATCTTTATTTGTTTTTGTACGAGAGTTGGCATCAAGGAGATGTTCCAATGACTTGGCTCTCCTGTTCCTGACTCTTCCAGTTTCTTTCAACAACTCAGCCAATCTCCTCTTCTCATCGTCGACATCCGGGTTCGCCGTTCCTAGTTTAACCTCCCGAACCTCGACAACATGTTCTAAAAGTTTGATGGCTTCATCTACCCTGCATCAATTTGAAAAAGAAATATTATCTTTGATAATGTCAGCTCACTCAAACTAGCACTATCTTGTATTATGATTCTATTTCAATCATCCATCTAACATAATCACTTACAAATTTGTTTTTTCTAGCTTTGATATAAAGAGATTAATGTTCTCATATCTGCCAAGACTCACCAAATATGAGGATTTAGATTTTTCTTTGGGCGAACTTATGATATTTAGTTATTTTTTTATAATGGTACTAGTAAAAGGTAATTAGAGAGATGTTTAATGGTTTATTCTATGGATCTAAGGAAGTCCGAAACAAGCTTTAGACTTCGTTTGGGACAATTTTGTTTTCTAAAGTAGCTTTTTAGTACAAAATTTGTAGTACAAAAAATGTTTGTACTAGAAAACCGTTTTAGAGAGTAGTAAGAAAATTGTCCCAAATGAAGCCTAAGTAAAAAGAAATTTCCCAAGGCTGCAGTCTCATGACTTAATTTTAGAAAAAAGATAAAAGATATAACCATATGTTAAATAAAGCAAAAATTAACTGCTTTAGTACTTCATTAGTAAGTGCTGATCAATACATGAAAGAAAAGTGCCGCCCAGCTTGCGGCTCAGTAGTTGGGGAGCTTCAGCTCGACCCAAGATCAAGTACTGGCATTGGTGTGTCCATGTGTATTATGATTAAGATTTCGTTTGGGATGGCTTTCTTACTACTTCTTAAAGCAGCTTTTCACTTCAAAAATTAAAATTTTTTACTAAAAAATTGCTTTAAGCAGCAGTAAGAAAGTCGCCCCAAATGAAGCATAAATTCACTAAAAAAAGCCTAAACATTTACATAGAAGAAAAACATCAGGTTATTTTGAAAGTAATAGCACGTTAACAGATTCTCTTCAAGGAAAAATGAAAGTTAAAAAAATAAATTATCTTTCCTTCCATATAATTCAACAGCAGAATGAGATTATGACAAAGAATCTCACAAAGTGATCTATATTATAGCTCTGCCAAAAAATATAACAATGAAAGGAAAACTTTCCATAATCATCATTACTTATTCTTTTATCATGCAAAGTGGTTGAGCAGAGAAAGCTTTTGGAAAAAGGCATCATCAGGCATCCAGATATCTACACATGCTTTTGTATAACTAAGGCTACGTTTGGGACGACTTTTTTGCTGCTTCTTAAAACAGCTTTTAATATAAAAATCAAATTTTTTTACTAAAAAATTGCTTTAAGAAGCAACAAAAAAGCCATCCCAAACGAAGCCTAAAGCATGTGAACATAAGCTTTCTCTTTTGCTATAAAGTTCTTTTTATAAAGAAAGCTACTTATTAGAGAATAAAAAAGGCTATATAGATAGCAAAGAGGCTAATCATAAGGATCCAATGTTATAATTAAAAATTCTCACCTTCCCATGGCATCATAGGTTCCTGCAAGATTGCTATAAACTCCAAGTGTTTCGGGATGATATGGTCCATATTCAAGCTCAAAAATGTTCCTTGCTTCCTCAAACAACTCAGCAGCCTCATTTATAGCATACCTTTGCACACATACTATCCCCATTTGATTCAGAGCAACGCCAAAGAAGACGGACTTCTTCTCACCACAAGATCTTAGCTTTGTAATTGCATTCTTGAAGGCTGCATAAGATGCACTATAATTTCCTAAAATATAATGCAAAACACCCATCTGCGCCTCAATCCCTGCAATAGTACTTTGATGACCTGGAGCATTGTTGTACAACTTCAAAGCCTTTTGAAGCAGCTTCAGAGCCTGTTCATGCTCATTCATGGATTCATATATTGCTGAAACATCTGTAAGGCCACTTGCAATCTCCTCTGGAGTGGTTCCTGGTATCGGTTTACCGTAGATTCTTTGCGCATTTTCACAATGAGACCTTGACTCCCTAAACTTTCCAGTCTTATTATACAAATCAGCAAGGCGAACAAACACCAAAGCCACACTGGGGTGGTTCTCTCCCTTGGATGATTTGAAGATTGAGAGTGCCTTCTGGTATGCCATTACAGCTTCATCATATCGAGCTAAGGAGAGGTAGATGTCTCCAATGCTGCAATCCACCGAAGCCATTTCTGTTTCCTGGCCATTGGCTACCATAGACATGCTTGCCATTACTAGATGCTCAAGAGCCGCCTCATGATCACCCTTGGTATCACAAATAAGACCCATGAGCCTCCTGTCTGCAGTTTCCTCTAAGGACGAGGCTTCGCCATTGTCCTTATGGATGTCGAGCGCCATTCGGCATAACTTCTCTGCATCATCGAATTGCAATGCTTGCACATGTGCTTCAGCCAAATACCTGCAAGCAAGGATGTTAATGAGCAGAACATGAATGAGTTTGAGCTTTGTTTGGTACAGTTAGCAACTATCAAGATGAATTTGAACAATCTTAAATTTGTTAACCTATTGAACAATGTTATTCGTTTTCACCTCATTTATTATTAAACTGAACATGAAATAACGAGCATAGTTGATGGCCATCAAATGAATAAATAATTTTTTTATTAATGGATCTGATATTCTGATTACATGTACAAAAGTTTGTGGTTTCATAGTATAATGGCCTTAAAGATTCATATAACTCATACTTCTTATAATTTAAAAGTATATTTGATGATTTTAAATAATAAAATATATGAGTAAAAGAAACTTTGCATGTATAAACATTTGTATATATCAAGAATTTATCAAGCTGGGCATAATCAAACGAGTATAGCCTATGTTCAACTCGTTTAGTAAATCAGCTAAAAAAACTTGCTCAAGGTCGTCTTGTCTACTTAGGCTTCGTTTGGGACGGCTTTTTTCCTGCTTCTTAAAGCTGCTTTCTAGTACAAAAATTAAAATTTTATACTAGAAAGCCGCTTTAATAAGCAGTAAGAAAGCCGTCCCAAATGAAGCTTTAACAAATGAACTGAACATGAACAATAATTGATCTGAACTGGAGTTATTCTCAAACATAGAGCCTTTTTGGTACCCATACCTGCAAGTTTCCCCAACTCTAGGATCTGTAGCTCCTAATACTTGCTTTTGAATATCCAAACCAGTAGTATAACACTGAATTGAGCTCCCAAGTTGGCCTAACATGGCATAAGTGTCACCCAATTGCATACACCCTGAAAATTTGGCTAAAGCATGATCTTGTCCTAATTCAAGGTCTGGAATCTCTATGGACTTCTGAAGCAAAGTGATCGCCTCGCTATATTTTCCCAAACTACATTGAATTGCAGATATGACATGCAAGCTCATGACTAGATCTAAATTAGGTTTCCCTTTAGCTATTCTCTCAAACACCTTGGCCGCACGAAGTGCATACTTCAGAGCCCTTCTATGATTGTCTGAAGAGATCAAATCTCGAGCATGTTTGAGAAGGAAAGGCCCGAACTCAGGGCTGTCTTCAGCTGAATCCACAATTCTACCTTTTTGTTTCTTAGCAATAGCTCTTGCTACAGATTTTGTAACACCATCATTATTCTTAGGGCTTGATTTCATGGAAGCATCAGATTCCAATTCCATTCGAGAAGGTTTTTTTGACTTCTTCGATGAAGCTGAGGACTTAGTTGGGGATTTCCTATCTTCAATTTTGGTTTCTCTTTCAATTACCTCATTATTTGAGTTGTTGATCTCATTCTCATCTCCTTCTTCCACAATTTCTGAAGTAGTCTTCACCTCACCACCAACAAGATGACAAAGCTCTGAGTCGATTCTAGATTCCTCGCCATCGGATCCGAAGCTCCTATGAGAAGGAGAGCCATTGCTTGAGCTCTCCATCTCACATACATTATCGTAAAGCCGCTGAATGGATGTGTCTACACAATTCTCCATAGGTAGATCAAGGGCTGAGCTTTGTGGGGTAAGCGGGCTTGCAGAAACCTCTCTTGGAGATCTGGAAATGCTATTATTTTCTTTGATATAAGATGAATTTAGTTCACTTGGTTCCTCATTCTTCTGAACCCTCTCAGATCCATCTGTTATAATTCCAGGCATTGTAATAACTGACTGAATTTGAAACCTAGAAATGAATTAAAATCCACGAATTTAAGTCCCTGCAAAGTAGATTCAAACAAAATGGCAACAAATTAGAACCCCAGACAGAAGAACAATACAAATTTTTAGAAAGGAGCAAACTTTTCAGCAAAAAATACAAACTTCCATCAGAAAAAGTCGCATGAAAGACAAAAAAGTAATACAACAGGAGAAATTCTCTTCTAAATCTGATCCTAAACCCTGGGAACGAACCAATCTCGAACTTCAATCTAGATCTCATGAGTTCCATCGGAGCACCCAAATTCCACTCCGGAAACACCAAAACACTCAAACCATTCATCAAAACCATCCAAATCTAACAAAAACCATATCAAAATCGTAAATTTTTACCTCCTCCAACAATTCCCACCAACGCGCCAGATCCAATCATCCACAAATCCGCTAAAAAATCAAAATTTTCCCCACTGAAGTTAGAGAAAGGCACACAGAGAGTATACAGCGTGTTAGTACCTCAAAAGCCCGCCATTAAAAGAAAGCCTACAATCTTTTTTCTTCGGTGCCGCAAAAAGATGACAGTGCAGCCAATGAAGCAGTTATATATAAATGTTTATGAAGTACAGCACTATTTGGGAAGAAGGGCATGTAATAAGCAAAAACTGTCAAGGGCAAACTTGTTATTTACTGTCTAAATCTTGATTTTTTTCCATGTATGTTCTTTAAGTTCATTTGGGGCTTCAGCTCTGGGAATTTGGTTGGTTGCAGAAAAAGTAAAGGTGAAGGTGACCTCCCACCACTCTCATTCTTTTTAAGTAAAGGCCGATTAGATAATTTAAAATTTATGATTATGCAATATTAGTCACATGTGAGAGTTTTATCAAATAAATAGTGTGCAAATGTCTACAATGTCTTTAATTTTTTTTTTCTTATAACATAAAATGTTATTATTATACCAAATAATATCTATATATAAGAAATGTTTTGTTTGTTTAAATGTTAGAAAATAATTAGCTGAAACTTATAGATTTCTAATAAATTTTGACTGTAAATTCTTAATATAATTTTACATATTTATGGGGGTAAAGAGCTACCTTCTTTTCTTATCATTGTAAAAAAGTTCTAATAAAAGTGATGTTTAAGATAACATTTGAGAATAGCTCGTTTGTGACCCGGTTTAAAACTTGAGAATAGCTTGTTTGCAATTGTTGAGCTCCAGATTAGCTTTAGAAGTAGCAAAATTGAGTTTAGAACGTCGAAAAATGATTCAGATGATCTAAAAAAGTCAGAATCGGACTATTCGACCCACAAATTCGGCTCGGACGTGACTTGTGTTGCAACTCGGGCTTCCGAGTTTATGATTTTGATGATAACAAATAATATTTATTAATATTTTATTTCTCCTGGTATTTGCAGTGCATATTTCTTTCTATGTTGACTAATATTTCAGGTACATCATGCATCGTTCTTTGAAGATTAAAGGCTCAAGATTGCATAGAATTGGTCGTATTAAATGAGTATGTAATTTTCATTTATTGAGTCAAGTCTTGTAATGATGTATGTTAGTTTGTTGATCATGCACACACATAGAGGGAGCAAAAAATGATTATAAATATTTTAACTTTTTCTGTTCATCATATTGTACGATATCTATCGTACTGTACGATCTGGTGTAACAGAAATAAATTAAAATATTTTATTTTTCCTCAAAAATTTATTTTTTAATATAACTAATCGTACTGTACGATCACCACATCGTACCGTACGATCTGTTATAATTAGAAAGCTCGCCGTCCATTAAATTAGGCAAATATTTGAATTTGAAAAGTTGTTCTAATCGTACTGTACGATTATGATCGTACTGTACGATTATGATCGTACTGTACGATTATGATCGTACTGTACGATGTTAATCCGCTGATTATTCAATCAAAACGGCTTAATTTTGATTTTTGGTCGTACTGTACGAACTGGATCGTACTATACGATCAATAGAGACAATTCTGGCCATCCCATGCTTTGTCCTGGACGAACTGCACTTTTATTGAACTGTTCGTACAGCACATCGTACAGGAAATCGTACAGTACGAACTTCAACTGAATTGTTCGTACAATACTAACTGGACATCGTACAGTACTAACATATCAATTTCTGCATATCATACTGGACGATCTTGCGATAGTACGGTACGATATTTGACTGCCGAATTGAGTTTTTTTAGGTTTTTTTTTAGCCCTCTATTTAAGCACTCTCATAAGACTTTGTAAGAGTCTTTCGCAGCCATTGTGTCTTCATTATTTTGGAGAAAACTTGAAGAGACGACTTGAAAGGGAGAGAGGAAAGGGTGAAGTTTGAGAGAGGGAGAAGATCCTTAGAGAGGGTTTCAAGGGAGTGTGAATGAGATTTCACACGGTTGCTCCGGCGAGCTTGTACCTCAGTACCATCGGATTCAAGGTTCGTCTTGAAGGAAGTTTTGGGAAGAAGAAGATCTCGTTGGTGTCAAAGGACCTGGCTCCTCCGCCGCACCGGGGAAGGTGGAAGTGATTGTGTAAGAGCTTCTTCGCCTAGCTGTGGTGGCTAAAGGAGAATCGCTAAAAGTTTAGTGTAATACTCTGAGGGTGCCTCCGGGAGTGGACGTAGGTCATGGTTTGACCGAACCACTATAAATTGGTGTGTTATTTCCTTTATTTTTTCTGCACTTTATTTCCGCATTTATTTTTATTGTGATTAATTGCGTTGATGAAATTGATTATCTATCTTTTTATTGTAAATGAAATTCGCTTCCGCATAGAGTTATAAAAAGATATTTCTTCATTAAAGAAGTTTTTAATCATCCAATTCACCCCCTCTTGGCACATCTAGTTATTTTCAATTGGTATCAGAGCAATTTCAACTTGGCAGCTGAACAGGCCAGTCGCCGCCGCTACTAGTGAGTCCATTGCCGCTCGCGCATTCGCTATCTTACCTGACTGCCCGCACCTACTGTTGTTGCCCGGCTTGCCCATGCAATTTGGAGGCGTCATTTCAGCGCCATGTACCAGTTAGCAAGCCAATCGTAGCCGGCAACTGCAATTAATTTTTTTATAGTAACTTTGTTCTCTTTTTTCTTTACATTTTTTTCTATTTTTCTCCTCTCTTTTTTTTAAAAAGAAAATTTTTAAGAATATTCTTATTCTATTTGAATATTCTTAAAATATTCTATGAATATTCTTATTTTATAAATATTTTTGAAATATTCTTATTCTTATAATATTTTTAGAATATTTTTATTCCCGTAGAATATTCCTCCTTCCTTTTTCACCTATAAATAGCCCCTTGAAACATGGGAGAAATTGCACCATTTTTTTCTCTTCTCCTTTAGTCTTCTGAAAGCATATGCATTCTTATGGTCTTGTATAGGTGGTATCCTCTATCAAATTTCACAGCCCCTCTTTATGTAGAAGCAAAGTTTTCTTACCATCTTTCTACTTTTTTTCTTTTCTTCTTACATTAAAGGCCTTCAATGTCTGAGATAGGCAGCATCCCCTATCAATTCAACGCCCCTCTTTTATGTATAAGGGATTTTTTTTCTACTTCCATTTTCTTCTTTTCTAGTTTTCATCTTACATTAGAAGCATTCCACTATCTGAGAAATGTGGCATATCCTATCAAGCTCCAGTGCACCTCTTTTATGTAGATATAAGTCACGATGAGAGTTTATTCTCTCAACAAACAACTCTTGATAGAAGAATATCAATTACCTCTTATATACGAGGGCGATTTTAAAAGATCTGGCGGTTATAGCATTCGAGAGGAGAATTGGTTATTATCAACATACATACTGAATTTTGAGGATGATTGAGTATAAGTCTGACGACAATCGGCGCCTAGGTGAAAGTTCAGTGGCGATTAGAGTCCAAGTGAAAGTTAAGCAGCGATCGACTATTAGGTGGAAGTACGATGGCAATCTGCGTCCGAGTGGTGAGTTGAAGGAGATAATTGGAGGGTGTGTTGCCAATAATAGTTGAGTGAGAGGCTAATGATGGCTGATAAGAGCTGAAGGACCGACGTCGTACATCAAGCAAAGGGCCGATGATGGCGGTGGTTGAGTTGTACTCTATTCAGAGTAGTTAGACAACCATGATAATTGAATGACCTGACGAAGGTGTTCAAGTGGTGTGCCGATTGAAGCAATTTATTAGCATATAGAAAGTGCGAAATAATCCAAGGCTTGTTAGGGCTCCGTTCTTCGTTGATGAAAGAGATACGTCATTTTGTTGGAAGTAATAAGGTGATGGAGGCAAAAGGTGGATATACAGATTGATGGGATAAAATATTGTCTCAATTGCACTAATCTAACAACACGCTCAATGTTTTTTCTACGATTGAAAGAAAGCCTCCAATCTTTTTTCTACGATGCCACAAAAAGATGACAGTGTGGCCAATGAAGCAGTAATATATAAATGTTTATGTAGTACACAGCACTATTAGGGAAGAAGGGCATGTAATATGCAGGAACTGTGGAGGGCAAACTTGTCATTTACTGTCTAAATAATTTATTTTTCTTTTCCATTTATGTTATTTAAGTTCATTTGCTTGCCTGCATATAAAGTAAAGGTGAAGGTGACCTCCCACCATTCCTTTAAATAAAGCAAATTGATAAACGATTAAATAATTTAAAATATGTGATTTTCCAATATTATCCCCTTGTCACAAACTTATCAAATTAATAGTGTGTAAATGTCTACAATATGTCTTTAATTTTTTTTTCTTATAATCTAAAATGTTATTATTATACCAAATAATATCTATATATAAGAAATGTGTTGTTTGTTTAGATGTTAGAAAATAATTAGCTAAAACTTATATATTTCTAATAAATTTTGACTGTAAATTCTTAATACAATTTTATATACATTCTTTTCTTATCATGAACCCTTCTTATGAATTTCTACGTAATTATTTTTTATATTTGTAAGTTTTTTAGATGTTAATAAGTATCATTATAAGTGTAATTGAGTCAAGGGTTTAGTCGTGGTATGGGGTCAAACCACCTTCTAAAATGAGACCATTGATCAGACGACCAAAAACTCATGTCATAGAACGCGTTGGGCCCATCGATTGCTGCTGTCGTTGGTCTGGAATTAGGCCTGGCTGCAGTCTTTGGCAATGCTGACATATATACGATTTACAATTAATAGATATATCAAGTTTGATCAACATTTGAATTGGCACATAGCACATCTTAATATATTTGATTAGGAGTTTTGGCTACTAATTAAAATGTCTTATATTCGAAGTTTAGATATATAATGTGTGTGAATTTATCTTAATAGCTCAAATAAACCCCTAAGTGGGACCCACATTTCCAGACGAACGCTTTCCTTTGCTATCATATTTCAATTAAATACTTTTGATATCAAAATTAATCATAAAATTATTGCTGCAAAGTTAACTGTTTAAAATAATTATAAATTTTCAGGACATAAGATTTTTTTTCCAACTAAATTAATGGAAAGAATAAAAATAACTCAAATTATTTCGAATTCCATGTAAAAAAGTTTGCAATTTGACAGCTGTGGGATTTGAACCCACGCCCTTTCGGACCAGAGCCTAAATCTGGCGCCTTAGACCACTCGGCCAAACTGTCATCAATGATATTTCGAGTTTTATTTTAATCTAATAAAGCA